TTAGTGAGTCGACGACTTCTCGCCGGCTAAAACAAAAAAACAGCGGCGACGTTGATCTTGCACGTAGCAAGGCGCGCCATGCAGCGGCCCCGGGACTGCGCGCCCTCTCCCGTTCCCTGGAAGCCTCGCTATCGGTACACGCCGTGGCCTTGTTCGCGCCCACGCGCGCAAGTCAGCGTGCCGGATCCGCTGTTGAAGCTCGCGCGCGTTCATTGTCTTTGTTGCGCGGCGGGCGGTGCCCTTGATCACCCCGCGCATCTCGTCGTTTCGCCAGAGCCCGAACGCTCATGCACCGCGTGCTCGGCCCCGTGGAATCGCCGATCGAGAGTGCGACCCGGTCATGCGCGTTTTCTCTGTTGGCGCTTGTCCAGACTCACTCGAGGCGAACATTAGCTAGCAGCCACTTGCTTGCTCCTCCGACTTCGCAGGCGGCGCATATCGAGAAGCGTTTGGGATGGAGCGCATGGAACACCTAAACCTTGTGCTTGTATCTTGCTTCTCTGTAATCGGGTGGAATGTTCGATTTCTTATCAACATTGATTCAGCAATGACATGGAAATGCGCTCTATAAACTGTCCGGCTGTTGACTTTGCCGTTTTGTATCTTGAACATCGAAGCGAACAACTGTTACGGCAAACTCGTGCGCTGGAAGCTCCATCGCCTTGTTAATTCACGTCTTGATACGCAAGAAAAATAAAAATAAAGAAAAAAAAAACAAGGTTTATCCTCCTTTTTAGGAGTCGGTATAACGCGAAAATGAGACGCGTCCTCGCAGAAGTATACTGGGGCATTCATTGTGTATTGTTTCGCCACAAGGACGAAGGAATGAACGCTGCAGTAATCAATTGCAGTGTCACGCGAAGAACGGCTAGCAGCTCGAAACTTGCAGCGCACACTTCAAGCAAAAGCACCCACAAAAGGAGCATACGCAGGACGAGCACGGGCAAACTGTCGCAGCTCGACACTTGAAGCACGCCACTCAAACAGAAAGAAGACATACTAAACAAATGCACAAGTATACACCTGTACAAGTGCGAACAACAGTTAGGATTCTTTCTTCGTGTGTGAGCAGCGCACTCCTTTCGTAAACCTGGCCGTGGCAGCGTGCGAACTCACGTTTGTGCTCTCTTTAACTACTGTAACTCCAAAGCAAGTACTTGCAGTGGAAGCATACGGTGGAAGAAGTATACAGAGAGCCCAAATACCGAGATAAGCGTGCATCCAAGTGAGCCACCACGACGTTTGGTTGTGCTGTCAGAGTGAGTAGACTTTTAATTTAGGATATAATACGCGTGGACGAGACGTGTTTCTGCACATTTGTTTCAGAGAAGCTTTATTTACATAGTCGTATTCACTTTTGAGTCATAGCCTCGCTCAACAACGGCCAACATAAGCCTCACAGACAAATATACCATCATTCCCAGCGCTCCAACAGGGCCCCTAAAAAAATTCGCAGAGACGGCGGTGCCACATTTCCCTCTAGGCATATTTGTGAGAAACTCTATGGGCAGAGGGAACGCTCCCTTTGTCATCTGCCTGCCAAGTTCAGCGGTCGTTGGTTACTTCTTACGCTTCGTAAAATTGTACATCGACACAGAAGTTTTCACTGTTAAATAAAAGACGTTTCTGTGCAATGGTAGAACATAAATAGCTTATCACGGGCTCTTTTAGTAAGAAATCAACTTTTTTAACGCGAAGGCAGACGCATCTTCGAGGTATACAAATCTGAGTCAAGTTTGAAGCTCACATATCCTGGTATTCTCTGGCATCCAATACCTCACTAGCGCAAGATTTCTCTCTAGATAATTTGGTGAGAAACTCAATGGTCGAGTTGCCTTGCAATGAAATGATGGTGTAGTAACACATCTACGACAATGCTATATGTGTGCACATCTAACGTGACTGCCATGTTTATATTGTTATCGTTATACTTTATTTTCTTAAATATCTTCACTTCTGTCCCTTGAGCACGCTCAAACATCGCTTATTTACGGCGTTGCTTTCAGGCGCCAAGGCATATATATGCAGGAGCACGTAAGTGGGGCGAAGGAAGAAAAGAAAGCTTTGCATATTATACGATCCACGCCGCTATCGGTCGTGCCATGCAGTTTTGTTTCTTGGCGCCTAGCCTCGCACATCGCAAAGTGTCCTGGCTCCCAGGTGAATTCTTACTGAAATCGATAGGCTCTCTGTCGCTGCGGATGGAGGTGGCATGATGATTTTTCCTTTCGTTTCCTAAGCAGCTCGCTACGCCTCCTTTTAAATCCACTGAATTGTAGATCGCGTTGTAATATCTTAGCTCGCTTGCTCGATCTCTGTTTCACGTGTTTTTGCAGAGACCATTTATATTGCATGTGTTATGGCCGCATTCCAGGCGTATCTATGTACGTCAAAATCTGCCCAGGTGGCGCTGCAAAAATGTCACCACCAGTGTGCTCATTGCAGCGCTGACCATAAGAGGGTAGAGCAAAGAGAGCCGTCTGCAAGCGGACGTGCTTAGGTCCTTCTATTTTGTTAGTGTTGAGGCATGGTTTCAGGAAAATCAAAGAACTGGTAAGCTTCTTCCATCAATCCAACCTCGCTACAGAAAAGTATACAGGAAGCACATCAAAACGAACTGCGGGTACAATGTGAAAGATGTTTCAGTTATTTTGGTTTGCTGCAACTTGCAATTTAAATGCAAGCGGGTACGTATGATATCGAGTTCAAGGCAAGCACTTCGACGTGCGGTCTGTTACGCCTAAATGTGTTAAACTTTCGCATACACATGATGCCAAAGCAATGAAGTATACTTACACGAGCAATGCATCTTACAATCAGTGGTCCTAAGTGCGCTTTATCAGGTGTCCCCAGCAGTTTTCGTCTTTGCAGTTGCATTCTCCATCCATCTCTCACTTCTTGTGCGTTCAGATTTTTTGGGGGGGCATTCTAGAATGTTTTGTTGACGGTTGTCTTCAGTTTTTATATACTGCAAATGGGGACACGTGTGCCGGAGGCCTCCAAAGCCTCCGAGATAGCTCTGGCAATCGCGAAGATCACTGGCAAGAAAAACCTGATCGTGATCACAATCAACATTTTGCGATGTACCTGTATGATGTACGTGTTAGCATTTGCTTGTTAAAGCCGGAACTCGGAGCTTTTAAAGCCTTCATGTGTGTGATGCTGTGTGGGGGCGACCACCTCACAGTATTGGTGGTTGCGGTGTGTGTGATGTTTATCGCACTCGTCGCCAGTGTGCATTTAACTCGCTGCGCACCCTGGTCAGAGGCTCTGTTGAGCTTTGTAGTCAAAGTTACCACGGTTCTCCGTCAAGGCAACTAAAAAAAAATCAGTAACAGGACATTTACATTATCACACTTTCTTATGTGACCTGTTATGGAAAACGCGATTACAATTCACTTACCCAACACGTTAGCAATGGCCCGTATCCAGCACTGCCATCGTTCTGCTTTGAAACAGCGACAGAAATCAGTAAAACTGAAGTCTTTTACGTCCTTAGCAATTAAAAACGCAACAGTAACGTCGACTGAGGTATTTCTTGGTAGAGTGTGGAGCTGTTGCGTCTGCTCTTGTTTGCGCCGTCCTTCTGGCGAGTGAATGCATGACAGTTCGGTGACGCGCCCGACCAGCGAAAAGAAATGTGTAGCTCTTTTTCTGTGTGTTCGATGCGTAAACATGCCTAATATTTAGCTGAATCATTGTTTTGCACTCGCTAGTTGCACCTGGTTCCGCAGTAATTGTGTGAGGGAATCAGGCTTTGCACTACCCAAAAATGCGCTGACAGGTGGCGTTAGTGTCTGCAAAACTCCAGAATCTGACATCTATAGGCAGAGGCACGTCTATTTGTCGTCCCCAAAACTTTCCCGCTTCTGGTATATTTTCAACCCAGAGACTTCTATTTTATCGAGCAAACAAGAAAGTGCCGTGTGAAATGCTTTCTCGAAGACATGACGGAAGTGGTTTCTTTCTACGTTTTTCTTTTTTCTGTAGTGGTTCCTGTGTCTGGGTGTTATCGTTCGAACAACCGTAAGCCTCTGCTTTCCTCCTCCAAATCGCTCAGTTCTCCATTGCTTCTTGTCGCCATGTTAGTATTCAATACGTGCCAAGTGACGATTATATGCGGTGACAACAGCTAGCTTGAAAGGTAGACTTTACGCGCCTGAGAAAGGGAGGGGAGAGACGACCTGTGAAGAACAGGTGTCTTTTTTTTTCCCCTTTGCAATGGAGAGAGAAAGAAAAAAAAAAGGTTAAGGCAGCCTGGCACTATATATATAGGGGTGCCAACCAAGCCTGAAGGAAATGGGGAGCTGGGCAGCCTCCTTTGTTTCTCTTTGCTTTTCTCTTTCTTTCCTTCTCTCTTTGTTCTCTTTCAGTTTTTTGTTTTTTTTCCTATTGACTTTTATTTTTCTTCTTAGTATTTCTTTTCATTTTTATTTTAGTATTTTTCTATTGATTTTTATTTTTCTTATTATTATTTCTGTTCATTTCTATTTCCCAGTCTTTTCATTTCTCTCGCTCTCTTTCTATTTCTTCCTTTCTTTTCCTTTTTCTTAGTTTTTATGCATGGTATTGCCTGCGCTCAAAGAACAAGAGGAAGAACACTTATCTCTGGTTTGAAGGGACACTCAGTATGCTAGTTTGCTACGTGGGGCTTTGTCTGCATTACTGCTAAGCGATCATGACAACATACAATCGCAGCCTACAGACGTTACGGCTCTTGAAGTGATCCTCACTTAAAGTAACAAGGAATAGAAATAAAACAGTGTACCCTACATTAATACATTGTTTGATACGTGGTGTAGACTTAAATACATATTGCCTTGACACTGCCTTCTTTCAAGCTTCTATCACTCTATGCACTTGTCACCATACGCTGTTGTGCTTCTGTCTCGTTTTGAGCATAGAGCCCATCTACGCACACACACACATGCACTCGCGAGACAGTTAATGTTTATCATTGCGTGCACTTATTGTGTTTGCACCTTTGTATTGTTTCCCAGTTCTATCGGGCCTTGGTGCACGAGGTGTCAGCCAATGGGAACACGTGCGTGGTCAAGTTCGTCGACTACGGCAACCACGAGGAGGTGCTCTGCTCAGACGTGCAGACCGTGTCACTTGCCCAATGGGTCAGTACCTTTTGTGTAAACCCTACATTCACACTAAGCGTATGCCGCTGCAGTGCGAAATGCAAGATACCCTTGCTTGGTATGATGCCCTGGGACATCATTGCGACTGTCGTGTTGGTAAGAAAAGGAGCTGAGATTCAAACTTCCCATTGGGAGGTGTACTTTGTGGGCTGACGCTATGCGATTTTTTTTTTTTTTTTGCTCTTGTTGTGCTGTTCTCATTGTGGAGCATGAAATTTCATAGCTACAGGCAGGCTCACAGTTTCGATGCCTGAGTGGACATGAAGTTACGCACTGTTCCCCAGATTAAGCACAGGACGAACAGGAAGAAGCAGCATCATGCTGGTATAGTTGTTTTACTAAGGGACTTGTTTTCGTCTTTAATTGTGGTAAGTTTTTTTTTGATGGAAGGTTGGCTCTGGGTTGATCCTTTGGCTGTGAACTTGTGTATCCGCCTTTATTCGGCCTCTGTTGTTCCACTTATAATCAAACTATGTTACTTAATTTGGCATTTTAGTAGATTCGCGCATGCTTTCGTTGTTCAGGTGTAAATAAGTGTGTGGCCGAATTCATAGTTCATTTTTGCTCATAGCAAATGTGAATTCTGTGAATAGGTGTTCTGGGCTGGTAGTTTTTAGCAAGGCAGCCGCATGCTTTGAAATATATTGCTACTTTATTACTAACAGAGACTACAATTGGCTCCCTGACGTGTTAACAATTGTGAACATGGAAGAACATATATATAAGTCCTCCGAAGTTCTGTAGTAAGTTCCGTGCATGCATTTTGTCTGTACAGGACAAGGGCCAATCTAGTTCGTCTCGGCAAGAGTACCATCGTCCGGCGGGAAGCGGGAGCACAGCCAGTGGCGGCGGAGGTAGTGGCAGTCACCACGGCCCGGCCCCTCAACAACACCAGCAGCAGCATTTCAACAGCAGCCGTGATTCCGAAGACTACCGCTACCTGGAAGCCATGATGCAGAATGAGGCTGCTAATTCCACTGCCTCACAGCAGCAACAGCAACAACAGCAGCAGCAGCAGCAGCAGCAACAACAGCCTCAGCACCAACAACCGCAGCACCACCAGCCAAACTATTATCACCAGCCTCAACAGCAGCATCACCAACAGCAGCCACACAATTACCAGCAGCAGCAGCAGCAACACCATCATCATCAGTCGCAGTACCAGCCTCAGCAGCATCATCGGCCGCCGACGGACGGCTACGAGTACGGTGGATACCGCCAGAGGTTGCCACCGCAGCACCACAAGCAGCAGCACCACCAGCCACCATTTGGCAATGCGGGAGCACACGGGCGGCCTCAGCAGCAGTTATACCAGCCGCCCGCACAGAGGCGTCAGGCGCCCACTTGAGACTGTCATCCTGATCATGAGGGGGTCATCTGCAAAGCCGGAATGGTGGTGCCACTTTCGAGAGGTGATTGCGACACACACACGACTGGTGTCATTGCCACGAATAAATATAGAACACTACTCTTGTGGGAGCGACAAACCCTGCTGAATGTCGTTTCTGGGAAAAGATGAAAACTTACGCAGTACTTAGACTGTAAGCTTTAATGAAATGTCAAATCCAGAAGGGGTTCAATGAGGTATACAAACCTGGTAGAATAACTTATAGGTATTGTCGCTTCCTATATCACTGGCACACTGTTGAAAGACAGTGGTAGGTGCAACGTGTGTGAGGCTGCAATTTATTAACTAGGTATGTTAAAATTCGAATTGCTAGGCATATATGCCCTCATATTATAAGCATATTGCCTATTACTACCAAGCCGTCATACCAAGAGGCACAGTTACGTAACTAATTTCAGCAACCTCTGTGCCACACAACAGTTATACGAAGCATCGGAACTAACATTGTCGCTGGAAGCGTCCCTTTTACATGATAATATATGCTGTCTGTGGTTATATAAAGGTACCAGCATTTTCATAAGGGCTTCACTTTAGGAATGACACAGTTTAGCGGTTGAAACGTGAGACACCTTCGCGCTGGACTTGTGCTGGGTCTGTGAGTGCTGTTCCCTACGCTCTGAACCTCTAGAAGCTGAGGTGCGATTGTTCGCAGGAGAGATGGAGTCGTTGTAAAAGATATTCTGGAAAGGGAGAAAACTACCGGTCAGCAAGGTGGTTGAGAGACAGAGCAATGCTTTTCTTGGCATTGATATCATTGCTTCACTTTGCAGACTTCTTCACCGCCTTTCTTTCTATGGCTAGTATCGCTTTCTTTATTTGTTTCCAGACTTTTCAAAATTACACGTCTGGGCAGAGTCATCGTAATTCTGGTAGCTGCGCTAGCTCAAGTTCTCCTTTACCGATAAAGGCGTTACACACTTGGTGGAAGTCATGGCGGTTCTCATGTCAGCGAGAAAAATCGCACCTTAATTCTGTCATTTACATTTTTTTGTACGTTTAATCCTCACATATTGACAGTCCGTGACAGATAATGAAGACCTAATGTTCGTAGCGTTCGCAGGGGGTGCAAGAGCGACCTGTGGGAAACGCCGAATGCCGCTGGATTAATGTGTTTTGTGCTTTTGACAGTGGCTGCGCCTGCGTTCATTCAATCAGTGTATCGAGTACCTCATGCCTTTGGCCTGCATTGCGGGTAGCACTGTGTGTCGCCCTCACTTTAAGATTAGGCACTGCCCTTTCACGATACCTTTATACAATGGAGTCTCTCTCTTTGTGAGACACCAAACTACATCCTCAACTGGTTGCCTTTTTTAGTGCACTCCTCTAGCGCTTGTGACGTTTAGCAAAATAGGAGGTGTCAGTTAACTTACGAGGCTGACCCTACTCCAAATATGTATAGCAAAGCTTTCTTACCACTTCTCAGACTCCGCATATGTTCGGAAGTACAGCTCTAGTGCCGACTTACATGACTTGACAGCGCTTCAAGACCACTGTCAAACAACCCTGCGAAGGTGGCGTTCAGGTCGAGCGCCGACACCCCGACACTTCTGCACTCAACCAAATGCTGGAGGGAAATCTCTTTTCAGTTTTATTGTTATTTGATTTTATTTTGTTTTATTATTGCTTGCTGCTTCTAGATGCCTACGCTCAAATCGCAGACCTCAGGCACAGAGTATATGAGCGCCAGACTTCTTTCACTAGACTCGCAAATGGCCGATCAATGTTGTGTTACGAAAGTGAGCAGCCTGTTTTCAAACCTGCGCATGTGTTGTGGCCGCAGTGAGACAGATATGTTTTCACGTGTTTTGCATTTGACTGTATGCGAAATGTTCTTGTGGCACCAAATAGAGTGCACTGTAGCGATTCCCGCTTGCATTTACTTTTCTAATAACTTGGTACAATGACAAAAAAGATATTTGTTTGAAAGATCCTCTGTACTGAAGGTCTTTTGAATGCTTTAACGACTTCGAGAACCATAGTATGAAGGCTGCTTACATTGCCGAACAGTTCTTTCACTCACTCTTAGAGAAACATGCGGAAGTGCTGCTGATCTGAAATAACAATTGACTGCAACTAATTCGTGGTACACACTTCACTTGTTCTGTTCTCGAAGCCCCTTTCATATACTGTGTAGTACTGGTGTTTATAATGGTGTTGTTCTAAGTGATAAGCTTTTGAACATTGCAGTAAAGCATGTGCCCTGTAAAGGAATCCAATAGTTACCTCTGTATGCATCGGATCCTTGACGTTTGTTTCCGTTCTGACAAACCGTGTTTGTGTTGTGTTCTTTGCGTTGTGGTTTTTGTTTTTGCACATTCGCCCACCAAATGGGCGTAAAATATCTCGCAGGTGGCTACATTAATGTCATATTTTGCTTATGTAGCCGAGTGGAACAAGCCTTAGGTAGTGTTATGTTTATCGCCCGTAGTTTGCACAGGATATAACGGTGGCAGTTGTGCTCGATATGTATCACAAGAACAGTGGTTCCCGATTTTTTTTTTTCGCGCTGGTTGCTGTCAATGTTAAGTTGTTGCTGTTGTATGTATCACTACTCTTTAATTAACACAGAGTCTGTGTGGAGGCAAGATAACATTGGTGCTGCTTGCGTCTAACACAACTAATCCAGGTGTCACGTGTTTTTGTTTTTCTTTGTTGTGGGTGTTTTTCACAGTTGCAATAATGGCGCATACCACGCACTCTGCACATTTTTTTTTAATGCGCCAACATGGTGGTGCGAAGAGACAGCAGACACGGTCAATCGCACGGCGTTGGATGTCTTTTTATTCGCGTGAAGATATACAGTTACCCAACGTCGCGTGCGAGACCTATTGCGACGCAATAGCGTTTATCGACCGCCTAATGATTCTCTCTTTTTTTTTTTTTCTGCAGCCATTGTGCGAGTGATACTGGGTTGGTATGTACAGTGTGTTTCTGTGAGCGTGTGCTTTTGTGCGTGCGTGCTCGTTCGATAACAAGATTGGCTAAACAATAAAAGAAACGAGTAAAGGTATGAATAAATAAATGTCGCTCAACGTCACTTGGGTCTGCGAGTATTCATTGAAGGGCCTTGATGAGCATAAGGTTTGATGAAATATTACAACTAAAGTTTTGTTTGTAGTATTATCTATTATGTCACAGCATTTCCTGAAATTCCGGGAAAAACACAACGCGCGACGTGTACACTTCTATCAAATTGAATTGGTAGTTGTGCAATGCCCTCTATGGCATAACGAAATGCACTTGGCCCTAAAGTGAATATTAAAAATCTCGCACGGTTGGTATTAGTTAATTAAATAAATAAATGCAATAAAGGAGTACCACACAATGGCCAACTATACATTCATAGTTTCATTCATGTGAGAGTAACTACAACTTCTTTTTTTATCTTTGTTTTTTACTATGCGAAGCACCTTATATACATAGAATGTTTGAATGACATAAGTAATGTCAAGAACATCACTCATGTACCTTAGAACGGAAATGTGTTTATAGGCTATAGAAAGTATGCAATGACGAGTGAAGTTATGAGACTAGTGATTCAAAAGTGTAAATGTCCTCTGAAAAACAATTACTTTGCATTGCAAAGAAAGCAAAGAACGTCTTACCTGGTGAGCATTCTAGGACCTTGTTTTGAATGATATGTGTTAACTATCTGACGACGAGGTGACACTTGTGGCTAGATCATGGTGGCGTAAGACACACTGAGAAACTACAATTTATAGGTTTGAAAATACAGCTTTATTTATATTGTAATGTTTGAAAATATTGTAGTACTTCGACGACGCAACATGCTTTATACCAGGGAGCTTGTGTGCTTCTAAAGGAGGAACAACAATTAAATAACCTTAAAAGAACACTAAAAAGGAAACAATAAATCGGTTTATAATGGTAAATTGTTCTGTGAGGTCTCGAAAGTTGTTATTTTCACTGGTATAATTTTATTAACAGAGGAAAATCAAGGTCTGATATCTGGCCGCGTGACGTAACACAGAGTGTATTTCTTCTGTTTCGGTGACATTGGCTCAAAGAAATATCCTGCAACTCTGTGGTCAACTCTACGTTCCTCTCAGAGGGCACTGTACTTCATTTTTACTAATTTGCAACTACGTAGGACCTAGTAGACAGAGTCAAAATTTATGACGTCACGGCATTTGGTAGGAGGATTTCACGGTGTCATCACCACCTACATTTTCATTTTGCACCTTTCCTCGCTTACCAAAAGTCTTCTTGTGGGAAGTGTGGTAGTTTTAAAATTCTAAGAGTAATTCACTTTTATAAGAATTATCGTTATTACCTTTAGTGTCCCGATAGGCCGATAAGGCTTGCTGGGTAATATCAATGAAGTGCGTTGTTTTATCAGCGTGTTCCCTTTAGCTATATTAAAAGACTTCTGTGCACGCTTGGGTCGATATAGACCGTTCTAAAACAAACGGCTTGTGCGTTTCACTATATGCGGCTGCGCCACGCGTGCACCATGCATAGCATACACAAGTCACCGTGTGCTCGACGAGGTATTGCACATAAGAGGTCAATGGATTTATACATGCAGGGGAAGCACCAGCTCTAGATGTTTGCAGTCCATTCACAAACAAGCTTATCTGACATGTCTTAAACGTACCGTGTAGTGACCTGAGTGAATTCATTTTTATTTGTGGATTGGTACTTCACCGCAACATCATAACCATTCAGTAGGCCAATCTACCGGAGCTGCACTTCATCACTGGAAAAAAAAAAAAAGCAATCAAGACCCGACGGCACACTGGAGGTGGCCACATGGTGAGGGTTTGGAGGAGTGGGTTGATGCTTCTCTCCCCGACATTTTTCAATTTTGCATCTGTATAAGACAGAAATGCACGCACAAACATGAATAGTGTATGCTTGAACTCCCTCTCCCCCGAAAAAAAAAAAAAAATCTGGTTACCCCTCTGCCTGACAGAGTCTACAGGTATGTTACCCTCAATAGGTGATTACTCACGATCCTTCTTTCTACACTGAAAATCTCACTACGTTGGTTCCGGTTAAAACATCTGGCATGCGTGCAGTACAAGCGACTTATTTACATGCAAGTGCTTGTGCAATGCACTGCGATACATGGTTGGCAGGCGAATGAAGAGACGTGATTTTGGAAGCCATGGGAATCCTGCGTGTGCACGCACTCAGTGTTTGTACGCAGTTCACATGAAATGACGTTGATGCACTGGGATGTGGTGACACTCCATTTTTTCTTTCATTTTCTTTTTACTCGCAGCAGCCCAAACAACTTGCTTTAGTTGACTCATCATGTGTCTGCAAAAGCGGAGCTGCCGTACAGCATGAACTGCCGCGCAAGTCGCTTTGAGTGCGATGTCCACCTGGAAGGTTGGGTCAGTTGCGCACCTTCGATTGTAGGGTCTGAAATGAAGCAAAACCTCAAAATATCAGTTTCTGGGCCTGTTACATCAACATCTAGCATAGGAGAATCCAGAAGTGTTCACAAGAAAGTACATTAATAGAAAAAAATCTTATCTGTCCGGTGTTTTGTCAACCACTTCTGCGGACCCTACGCAAGAAGGATAAAGTAACCGAACTCTTAGAAGTTACGACATAAGCAAGGTCTGCGTAGTACATTTAAAAGCAATTCTTACAAGTTTGCAATATCAGTGCGAATAACAATAAAAAAAAAAGAAATAAAGCTACCAGCTTTTTGTCTTTTTGCAGGGATGAAGAGGGCTTAAACGCAGCACTGTGCAAGCGTAGTCTTCCCTTTGCCTTGGTTTACTGCGCTGTTGCAAATATAGCACACCAACAGGCCCAATGTACGGTTCTTTTAAATCTACGTTCACAACTTCACAGTTTGTACTTGCTAACTATATTTTCGTCTCCTACCAAAATCAGTTATGCTACATCTTCGCTCGGTATTAAGGTTCGCGCATTCTGTCATACCTTCAACATTAGGCATGTAAACAAGGCGAGGTACTTGATCACAAAACAGCGCACAGTCTGTGATATCTTCAGAGAGCGATGGGAGATCGCTTGCGGAAGAGGTACAGTTTAAAGCGAAGAACGGCATGTATAAAACAGTGTTTCAGACGAATATTCGCAGCGCCTCAGCGGTCATTGGACTCACCTTCTGTGGCTAGTGGTTTAAGCAGTAAATATGCCAAGACATGTGGGTGAAATCCCTAAAGGTAATCATGCTCAATTCACCCAATACATTCGATATCTCTGTTATTCACAAAGGGGCCTCATCTCGGAAGCCTTGACTGGACAGGTGTACTTCTTAGCAATTATTTGACCTTGTCATTTGTCACTTGAAACTCTACCCTGAAATGCATCGTGAACGTCAGATGTAAGTGAACAGTGGTGTAGGGAAACTGAGTTAATGAGGTAGATATCGTGTTTCGGCGTTTGCACAGGAAGATTGACTTTATTTGGAGTCACCTTGCCTAAACGGCTGCCAGAAACTCTTTGATCCTGGTGGCATCTTGGGTGAGTTGAGGGGCACCCAAAATCTGTCTATTAAATTTATTTTACGTTATTACGACCTGTCTGACAAAGGACAATTCTACTCTGAGTTATCTTTTTTTTAGATGGGAATCAGCTTTTGCTCGGGGCTGTGTCCGTCCCTCGGCGACCGTCCGCTCCCCTACTGCGTATGCGCCAACTTTCTCCCTCTCCTTGCGTAAGCGCAAGGAGGTGGGGTGGAGGAGGTGGCAGAGCGCTGTCTCCGTGTTGTTTCTCCTCTCCCGTTCATCTCTCCGCCACAGATGTGCGCTCGCATATAGTGCTGGGTGCGCTTGCTCCGTTGCACTATCCTTTGCAACGGTACTGTGGACGTCAACATTGGCGACGGTTATAGTGGCATCAATAACATAAGCTGTCACAGCATCGCAAGCAACGTAAGTAGCACCGCTGAGCAGAAGACGAGAGCTTGTGAAACCGAACGTAAATGGGGGCGCCAGCAAGTAAACTCCGAGCTCAGGAAGTCACAATTAAGAAACGGCAACGGTGGCAAGCGGACCCCGAACTTCGAATTCCCGAAGCCGAACACGACTCTACACACAAGTGAAACATACAAGGAAACAAATAAATGGAAACACAATCGAACACCAGCACCGCTCTTGGCATTACCATGTTGTTCCCTTTATTGGGAGGAGTATTTTAATTGTTTTTCATCAACAGTCATGTGTTCAATGTCTTCAGTGCTATTTGTTCACGGTCATTGTAACTGTTCAAACATTGTTTACTCTTCTATGACCTTGGTAGGCCAACCTACTACTGCAGCTTTTAAACCAAAATCACAATCTCGCATGCGCTGTGGAAAACGAAATTGAGTTGACTGGCTGAAAAGTAATGCTCTGCTGCCCCTGTTCCACATTTCCTACTGAGCTATCCTCTGCAGTTGTCGGCTGTTGAGCAGTGGTGACGGTTCAGGCAAATAGACCTTGTTTTTATTACTTCAGAACTGCCCTGCCGCGGTAGTCTAGTGGCTAAGGTACTCGGCTGTTGACCCGCAGGTCGCGGGTTCGAATGCCGGCTGCGGCGGCTGCATTTCCGATGGAGGCGAAAATGTTGTAGGCCTGTGTGCTCAAATTTGGGTGCATGTTAAAGAACCCCAGGTGGTCGAAATTACCGGAGCCCTCCACTACGGCGTTTCTCATAATCATATGGTGGTTTTGGGACGTTAAAACCCCACATATCAATCAATTACTTCAGAACTAACAACTCCGTCTTTCACTATTTCAGTTGCTAACGCTGACTAATAATAGCGAATCTGTTATTTATTTTAAGTTACTTTTTCATAGTTAACCGAGGAGTTTTGGAATAATCATCAACGAAGAAAAATGCTTGAAAGAATGGCATTGTGGGCAACTTTACTTGTTTTTATCCTCGAACTGCACAGCTGCACTAAATGCATGCGTATTACATGTTGGAAAAAAATCGCTTTTTTTACGGCCAATAAATTGTGCATTCAACATTACTAAAAACCAAAAGAATTATGTATTGAAAAAAAATTGCTTTTTCCATTTGGCCTCACACCAAGTGTAAAAAGCAATTTTTTTTCAATACGTAATCTTTTTGGTTTTTAGTAATATTGAATGCACAACTTATTGGCCATCATTTCGCTGAAATATGTTTATGTCTATGCAGTTTCCAAAAGATACTAGCAGAAATGCTGGAGACCACACATCACCAAGTGTGAACATGTAGTAAAGCTTTGAAAGCGTTATGAACACATAACTTTTAATATTAAAAATTCTCGCCAGGTGATCGCGTAACGAGCCACATGTATTCTTCACGCTCAAATACACGCTCGTATGTGAGCCTGTAGACCACAAAATGTGCTTTGTTTGACGCTGTGTGTCATTGCAATAATGTACACAGAAGCACATTTGATATTTTTAAGCCAATTCGGATCGTACCTGGCCTCTACACTGCAAAAGCTTGCCTCACAAATAATCAACACTAAAGTGTCAAAAAGCATCCCATCATGCCATTGATGTCGAAAATTAAGCTAGATAAAATAAAAAAAAGACTGAAAGTTGCTGTTTCAGCAAAGGCTATAAGATCCATGATAGAGAGTCCATGATATAAGTTCCATGATAGAAGGGTAAGGTCCATGATAGAACTGGTTACAAATATTGAGAACTTTAACGCTCCTGATCACCTTGTGTAAGAGTTGCACCTGTTCCAGTCCTGTTTTGTTGATTTTCTCTGAACTTAATTTTACCGCACGCTAACAGCCGTGACTTTCCGCTTATAAACATTTGTCATTAAAACCTGGCACACTTCCTTATCACATCAGTAGGCGTACAATGTACCTCAATTAGCAAAATCGTGCCACAAGATTCAATGCATGCCATACTGGTCGCAGGATTGAGGCATTTTGTTTAAAACGTCAAGGTCGCCGAAGCAGCAGTGTCAGCAGTCAACTATTTTCGATATGAAATCGATGATGAGGTTAAGCTATGAAAATCACTTAATATTTGTGTATCAGTTTTATTTAAAAGCAGCTGACAAAGTACCACCTTGAATACTCTATAGCCACTGCTATATTTCAGCCTGCAGTTACAAAATATTTTGAAGGCTGTAGCTGCTGCTCAGTTTAAATCATGGTAGTATTTTCAGGGGCGAAACTCCTTCAGCCGTGGGTCATGCATCCACGATGTATGTAGTAGTAGTAGTAGTAGCAGTAGTAGTAGTAGTAGTAGTAGTAGTAGTAGTAGTAGTAGTAGTAGTAGTAGTAGGTAGCCACCTCTTGTTCAGTCTGGATGACAATACTTCTATATGATGAATATATGGTGAAAATATGCGAGATGGCGGTACTTGGAGTGTTCAATAGATGGACGGACGCACGGTCGGACAGGCAGACAAGCAGACGGATGGATGGACGCTCGTGCGGACAGACAGATGCACGGGCGGACGGATGCACTGATGGACGGACGGACGCTTTGCCCCACTAATCATCATTCACTCTATAGCCTATGCTGTGATATTTTTCTAGTTTAAAAGCAATACTAACGTTCCTTCGTTAAACCTTGTAAATATTTGTTACAATTAAAATGTCGAGTAATTTTTGAGCTGTTTTAAAAATTGTCACCCTCCAGTTTTGGCCTGTTTTGGAAATTGTCGCCTTATTATTTAAAAACTATTTCGAAGAGTATTTGGTACGTAGTTGTATTCGATTCGGCTATGAAACTCACCATTCGCAAACCCCTCGTTGTTGCAGATGCTCGCTTCAAGCGATCCAAGTGCACAGAGTAGTGTGCCAATGTAACACTACGCCACTGAACGCCATGTTTCTCAGACAGCAATATATGCGTCAGCAGTGGGTACCAAATGAAGTCAAAGCACGTGCGGTGTCATACGGAATAGGGACGCTAGGCTGGCAGAACTCTTTTTTTCTTTTTTAAATGCGAACCATTTCTTAGCAAGCTTAGGCGACTTTGAGCGTATCTATCTTTCTATCTATCTATCTATCTATCTATCTATCTATCTATCTATCTATCTATCTATCTATCTATCTATCTATCTATCTATCTGTCTATCTAATCTAATCTAATCTACCCACCTACTGCTTTTAGCTCTCCTGGCCGTTTCAATGATATCGATACCAAACTTGGTATCGCATAACATGACTCTATGAAGAACATATTTGACTAGTCATGACAAGAAAATCATGACATGTATGTCATGAATGTCATGATTTACATTTCATGGTCCTGCAGCTCTTGCGGTGGTTTCGTTCACATGGCATGTTGCAAAACTGGTACTGGTATGACATGATTGCATGGCAAACACAATGACAGACCTTAACGTGAAAATCATGACATGCGTGTCACGTTACAACATGACTACATGCCACGCTCATGATGCGCTCGCGGCCGTTTCGCTAGCAGTCACATATACCAAACTCGGTATTACGGTACGTAGAATGGTTGACGAAGGTATGTGACTGGTGCAAACATGATAGTCATTAGATGCATGCCATGTTACAACATGCTACGCTCATGATGCGCTCGCGGCCGTTTCGCTAGCTTCAAATGTACCGAACTCGGTATTACGCGACGGGAACGGACGACATAAGTAAATGACACATCCAAACATGATAATCACGACATGCGTGTAATGTAACAACATGACTGCATGCCACACACATGACGTGCTTGCGGCCGTTTCGCTAGCTTCACATATGCCAAATTCGGTACCACGTGACGTCAATGGATGATGAAGTTATGTGACTGGTGCAAACAACATAATCATGAGATGCGTGACATGTGAGAACATGACTACATGCCACAGTCAAGGCGCCAATACGTTTAAACGTGGCGCGGTGCGCGTGCTCGCCGGCGTTCATTTTGTCGCGCCACGCCTGCGTTGCCACGCCAGGCACCGGCCCTGCCATATACTCGCAAGCGCGCGCCGCGCTGCTTTGACGCATGCGCGTTTCAGCGCGTCCGGCGTCCCTCCGTCTGAGTCCGTCACGAAAAGAGGGAGACGCAGTGTTGTTGCTGTCGATTGCCGTCGGGCCGCGCCGACGGACGGCCGTCGTGCCTAGCGTCAGACTATAGAGGAGTGCTCGCGCTTTGCTAACGTAGCGTCGCTGTGTTAGCGTGCGCGCGCGTCAACGTTACATTGGAGTATATTGGGCCCACATGATTTGCTCGCGGCCGTTTTGCTAGCTCCACATATACCAAATTCGGTGTTACGTGACGTCAATGAATGACGAAATAAATATATGACTGGTGCAAACATGATAATCCTGACGCGCGTGTCATGTAGGAACATGACAACATACCACGCTCATAGCGTGCTCGCGGCCGTTTCGCTAGCTCCACATATGCTAAATTTGGTATTGCAGTGACGTGAATAGACGACGAAGGTAAACGACACATCCAAACATGATAATCATGACACGAAAGTCCTGTACGGCATCATTTACTTCCACCTCGTAAGGTTGTGCTGATTTTAAAGTGACATATCAACCTTTCTTATTCGTGCATCGCATATCATCGATTCCCACTTTAAGTGGGATCTGCCTTTTTTTTTTTTCTGTGGGTTCACACCGATCTTGATCTACAGGTTGCTCGAGCGTGTACGTGCATTGCGCACGTGCGTATATACAGGCGCAAAATTGAGAAATTTTGCCAGGGGGCGTTTGAACTGCTCCTGGCTACGATTGAGCGAGTTATGTTCTTTCCCTCTGTCTCTCTCTCTCTAGACGCGCTCATTCAGCGAAAACAGGGAAGCTTACTCAAGTGAAGCAGCGACCGCCACAGCACGCGCTCGAGTCACACATACTCGCCATGTGAAAGGCATACGAGCAACTATGCATACGCGTATCTTTTATCGCGCACGTGGCATGACTTATATTCGCTATAGCACTGCACGTGAGAACGAAATTCCGGGCTGTCACTTCAAGGCTTCGCGCGTTCTTGCTTTTTAGTCGGGCGGTCGCACAAGTTTTATATCACCGTTTTTGTCACTTCTGCAAGTTGGCCTGCCAAGGAATTTTTGCTCTATGGCTCGCTTCTGCCTGACTCACTGCTGTCGCCTATTATCTTTTCGTGTAGTCACTTTCCCGATATACTTGGTGCGTTTCCCTTCTGCGCATGTCGTCTCGGGGTAGCGAATAGTCTGCACAACAAACAGAACTGAACAAAGAAACAGGGACTGTGACTAGTGTGTTCATACCGGCAGAGCGTCCGGCAACGTCCGTATGCGACTCATAACTGGCACGTCCATGATGGATGCGTGAACATCTCTTCCGAGTCTGTGGTAAGCTACGGATCCTTTATAAATGTCCTTAATCGGATCGGCGCGGGGAAGAATGATCTAAAAACATCATGTCACCCTCTCGCCGCTTGCAATTATCGTTTTTATTTGTACAGCATGCAAGAAGAATATACATGAACAGCCACCTACTAGCCCAGTTAATTGCCCTTTCGAGCCTTTAGTACCGTCAGCGCTATGGCGACGCCCAGCACACCATGTGCGTAGTGGGCTACTGCGTCAAGTGTATTTCACTGCATTCTCGAGTAGGAAATTTTTCAACGCGTATAGTGCTAGCTTGGTATCCTAAACGAGAGCGATATCTTTTAAGGGGAAAGTCATTTTGTTTCTTCGGAATTGCCGTCGTCATATGTTAGCAATATGGGCGTTGCACTTAACGGAAATAGTTTCGAGTGAGGGAACAAAATGCTGCCCGAAGCGCCACTCGCATACATGAGGGTCATTGAAATGGCTAGGCTCTTGCTCATATCACCACTGCAAAAGCGTGAAACAAGTCGTTATAGCGACCTGCTTTTGTAGCGGCTTCGACCGCAAGAAGTCGTCTAAGAGGTACTGACGCTCTTTGAAGTCGCCGACGACGTTTTCCATCGCGCCATTTATCGGAGAGAATGAGCACCTGCGCCTGACCTTCCCTGCAGTGCGACAGCAAAGACACGGATTGCGGAATGAATCGCCGGCAAGCGCCCACGAAGCCACGCGAAGCGTGACGCATCAGCCGTCCTTTTAGGCGACGCCACGCTGGCTGGAAAGGAAACACAGGTTCGGCAAGCACAAACCGACCCGGACATTGTGGAACGGCCGTACATAGTATAGTGTAAACATTGTTATCGCCATGGAGTGTAGGCTGAGAACGCGAGTGTTTGCGGAAAGACTCATTCAGTCGAGCCGCAGGGTGCGCAGGGTAGACAACTCGTGGACGCAACGGGCTGGTACAGAGTTCGATGGAAGGGCTTGCTGGTGTTCAAAGCTCCGCCGCACCGGACGACGATCTGCTCGAGTTCGTGCGTCGCGCCACCGAAACCGTTCGGGCTGCCTTGGAAAGGCCAGGTGAAGACTAAAGCCAAGATCAACTCGAAGCGGTACATTCAGAGGCAACTACTCAAGTCCCATGACATCTCCCGCTACAGAGCTTCGAGGGAGAAGAAGAAGAAGCACAACCGAACATCGCCTACGAGTGAGTGGCAGAAAACTTATTCCTCAATTGCTTCAGCGTATTCAACCACAGATTTCCCTGAAATCCCGTTGACCAATGGCTACCCCGATGATGTGCGTGTTTCTTCTCGGAACAATCAGTCGATGACTTTATGGCCACTCAGTGCTCTGGGAACTCGAAACATGCTCGGTGCGTCAACAGTTACGCGTTGCCAACTGGCAGTGCGCTACAGTATGGCGAGACATCCTTCAACGTGCCGGCAACGTACAACGCATCGAATATGGAGTCCAAGCGGATGCGGCGACAGCGACCAGTTTTTGTGTGGACAGCTCTTGTTTTGTTCCGAGGTTGCATCAGTAGACGCGGCTTCCTTCGCAGCCGTGGACCCCGTGTTTCCTTCCGAAAACTGCGACCAGATTGTCCCTTTTATTGAAGACGAACTGCACCGATATGTGTGTGCTGAATCTGACGCTCCCGAGCCGCAAACGGGCGCCGACGACTCCGGAAGTGTTTCATCCCCGCCGTGCACACACGAGCCACGTGACTGCGTTTATGCGTCCTTCGGTGACTATGCGAGTTCAGTTGAACTGTCGTCTAATGACAAGTCACGTGACCCCACTTGTAGTTACGTATCGCACTTTCTACCCCTTATTAATATGACGTGATGTTAATATACTTGGTCGACGCGTTCTAATTTCATATTGTGCTTAACCTTCCTTTTTTTTTTGCATTCCCCCTACGTGATACCTTAATGTGCGCTCAGTGAACATTAATAAATAAAAACACTTATTCACTATCTCCGTGGACTGATTGATTGATATGTGGGGTTTAACGTGTCAAAACCACCATATGACTATGAGAGACACCGTAGTGGAGGGCTCCAGAACTTTCGACCACCTGGGGTTCTTTCACGTGCAACTAAATCTGTGCACACGGGCCTATACAGCATTTCCGCCTCCATCGAAAATGCAGCCGCCGCAGCCGGGATTCGACACCGCGACCTGCGTGTCAGCAGCCGAGTACCTAGCCACTAGACCACCTCTGCGGGGCTTATCCATAGACTGAACTATCGAAGTATAGAAGCCTTGTATGCGTGAAATTATCCATGTCAAGTTCTATCAACAGAAACTAAAGAGACTTACTTTGAAATCACGTGCTGCGGTGCTACTGCTTGATGGGGAGTAAAAGAAGTTATGTTGATGATAATGATCATTATGCTACTGTGGACGAAGATGTGTTGATGATAATGATCATTATGCTACTGCGGACGGCTGTTCTCCTGAGCCTTTCGTGCGCTTCTTCTCTGCTTCTTGAAAAACGGTTCAGCAAACGCCCAGAAGAAGACGTTCAGCAGGCAGAGGAGGCCCATCACTTGAAAGAAGGTGTCGTACGACATCAGAATGTCACGACAATAACCTGCGAACCATTTGTTTGAATAGGAGACATTATAGGCGTAAAGCTAAAGATATATCTATAGTCAAATGATAGTACCCCCTTCCTTCCCCCCAAAATAATGAGCCCCGCCACCAGAACTGCGGCGCGTCTGTCAATCAGCTGTGAATTCTGACACAAACGCTCTCGTGATTCGGTTGCTATATGCAGCTTCAATTACGCTGACGGCAAATCAAAATAACAAGCGCATTTTTACATCACAACTCTATAGTAAACGAAGCAAAGTCAATTTGACGCCATTATGCAGACATTCACTCTCCGGAAATACGCGGCATTAATTTACAGCGAGATTGAAACACGTCTTACGCTCTCTGAAACTACCCGTAAATGGCTGAAGTTGACAAAAGCGCGTGTGCCACTAAATGCATGCTTGGACGTATACATTTGGGAATGTACAGTGTCAACTTTTATTAAAGGGAACACGACGACGCGTGGCATTCGCGCTCCGGCGGCTGCTGGCAGCGTCTTCAAGCGGGAGCGATAGCAACCACATTCTCTTCTCGCGTCATCTTGCGGCGAGCAAAACGATGATTCGTTGCTGATGTGGAACCAGCGGCAAGATTCCGACCGGAGCCCTCCCCCTTTTAAGGCTGCGTTCACACTGAGCATTCCGGCCGCCGAAAGTGCTCCGAATCCGGTTCGGCGGCGGCGAGTTCCGCCGAAAGGGCCCTCTCCGCGCCGATCGCTATCGGACCGATTTTTGCGGCGTCTGCCGCCGAATCGGTCACCGCGGACCAATAGGAGCGCTAGTCAAGGAATTTTGAAAAATGGCGGCCAAGCCCTACTCACTTGTTATGCCGCAGTGCACGTAACTGAATGTTGAAACCAACGGGAGTTTAACCTACTCTGTGCCTACTTCGCATTGTGAAAGAAGTGACCGAGCTTGCTGTTGGCGTGACCGAGCTTGTTGCGGTCTTGCAGAGCAAAACAAACCCACCAACGCCGCTGGCGTCGGTGGTTTTTCTGCTCTTCGTGCATTACAAGACAGCCACTTGCCAGCAAAGTATGCAGTACTGTCTTTTCTTGCTTCTTGCGTACGAGAATCGTCGAAGTATGCACCACCGGAAAGCGTAGTAGCGTTTGCAAGCCGCGACAACAACCGGGTGACATCGTATCCATCCCGCGTTCGCCCCGTAGTAGATGGCATATTCGGCGGCAGGGGAATTTCGGTCGCTGTAGAAGGCGGATGTTTCAGTGTGAACTAGGCATGAAGGCGATTACGCGAGAGCCAATAATCGCCTTGAAGGGGGAGGGGGTTGCAATCTTTCCAGCGGTTTCACATCAGCACTGACATCTTGTTTTGCTCGCCGCGAGATGACGCGAGAAGAGAATGTGGTTGCTATCACTCCCGCTTGAAGACGCTGCCAGCAGCCGCAGGAGCGCGAAGGCCACGCGTCGCCGTGTTCCCTTTCATAAAAATTTAAACAAAACGTACTTCAGATTGCCCTGCTCTTATGGCGTGTTCTTTGCTTTCCAAACAAGTTTTCCCCAAAATTGAAAATGGGAATCATAAGAGAAAAATCATTTCATTTAAGTGAGTTGGGCGTTAGTGAAAGAATGTATACCAGTTCCATCTGTTGATTCATTCCGTGTTCTAAGGCTCAAACACGCACGTATACAAAGTATCGAAGAAATGAAGATAGGTAGCATATGATCTGAGAACATGAAGGAATTAATAGAACGAGACTGTGGTAATACTGTTTGTCAACAAATGCACGTTCGCTCGCCATAATTGTACTAAAATCAAGCGCCATTTTCGCTAAGTAAATACTTTAGTCATTCTAGTTCAGAAAGATCGTCGATTTTTGTCAGTTATAGTGAGGTTCCTACTAGAACTTCAGTCTAGGACAACTAGAGCTGTCTCCAAAGAGAACAAAAAGTGAAGAAAAAGGGCATAAAAACTATAGAGATGGCTTTATAAACAAGAGCTAACGGCATCGCATACCCAACATTCCTCGAAGTTGCGACCTAATTTTCCGCTAACATTAAGCAGAGAGAAATAAAAAAATGTGGTGAACTGAAGTGAAGCACCACAAGCAATGGTAAAATCATTCATTGAGCTAAAAGACTATTGAGCTCTAATCATTTAGCTTGATTAAATTTATTGTAATGAAAACCTGTTATCGCTATACTCACTTATGACAGCTAACATCAGCAGCGCCAGCAGAGCCACAGCGAAGCTGTAGATGCCGAAGGCCCACGACACGAGATTAAGTCCGATGTAGTCCTCGAAGATAATGACGTACAACACGTAAAGAGATCCGAGGTTGGAGCCCAGCAAGATTGCCGCGACCAGCGCGGCCGTGTAGCCGACCAGGTAGGGCGCTGCAAGCATGAGGACGCCGCTGGAGGCCTGAATCCAGATCATGAGGATCTTCTTGGATCCCATCTCGCAGTTCATGACCGCCGAAGTGGCGAGCCGGGCAACGAGATCAGCCACAGAGAAGACACTTATCAGGGACACAGCAGTGTCGGCACTCACTCCTTTGTCCACGGCAAAGTCCAGAAGGGTGCTGTTGTAGACTATGTTGATGATGTACAAGAGTACGAAGCTAAGGCCGCAGATGTAAAACATGCCGTTTTTTAGCAGCACCCTTGCCGGTTTTAGGAACAGCCGCAGCCGTTCTTTAAGCGGTCCTTGAAACTTGGCCTGCACAGGAACGATTACGATGCTCTCTGAGGAAACCGACCTCCTGTGGATAGTCACTTCGCCGGTGTCCTTCGTCTCAACTACGTCGTATAACGAAGGGTCTAGGACGGAATAGCAGGAGAGATACGTATCCGAATTCTCGGTCAGAAGTCTGCGCCGCTTGAACGTGGGAAGGCCCTCCAGCTCGCAAGGGTCGAAGTCGGACTGGCAGTCCTCGTAAATGGAGTCCTGCGAAAACGCGCCCCCGTCGGCGAGCTGGTGCAGGCCGAAACCGTCCCTGATCGAGTCCGCCGGCTTCTGGTTGGCTTTGTCCTCCGCAATGTTGCTGCTGCTGACAGATCTGAGCTTCTGGTGCGAGTTGGCACCGCCGGCAGCGCGGTCCAGTCCCTCGGGAGCAGATCCGCGATCGCGCTTACTGCTAAGCCTGGGAAGTGAGCCGGCCTGTCTAGGGTTGTCGTCGATTGTGACGCTGTACCGTTTGCGCACGGCTGACATCTCCACGCTGCCGTTCTCGACGGCTGTTGCGGACGGAAGCACGCCGCGACCACAGGAAATCGCGCCGCGCGGCGCGGTCAGTTTCTGTAGCAGTATCCCGATACAGCCGTTCATTGTGACGGCACCTAACAGTAGGCAGGCGCCCGGAGTTGTGTACTCCCGTAAGAGGTGTTGTAGGAGCCACGGGAACACGATGCCGGCAAACGAGACGCCCAGGGAAGCCACGCCTAGGGCGAGAATCCGGTCCTTCATGAAGCATTTCTTGATCAGCATCTGGCTGCGCCATTCAATGGGGCCCAGTCCCAGACCTGCACAGCAGCAAGGTGGATATATGCAGAATGAGAATTGGCTCAAACTCGCGCAACGAAAATGTGTGACATCACTTCGTGACACGCTTCCCGTTCAAGTGGGCAAGTGAAGTTGAACAGTATATGCGGTGGGAGACATTTTGGGTCAGAGTGATCCTGCGCTTAAAACACAATGAGAGGATGACTGTCAGTGTTAGTTATCGTTAATAAATGCGCAGAAGTTCAGTTGAACGACCTTGAGTAATGACTAATTTCCTTTCATGCCGCTTTTGACAGCCTAGCTTGAATAAACTGCAGCTTGCTTTAGGAACTTGAAATGTTGTGATGAAGCCTTGCCTAGACAGCAGCGCACGCGCATGCTTCACCAGCTAACTTGCACATTTTCATGGACTATGCATTACGTTTATATTTATCGTATCTCTTATAAACTTCAAAAATGTGTGACGCTCTCGCTTATGCGCAGTATACCTGTAGGCTTTTCTTCTTTCTTTCTTTTTTGCATACCTGCAGGTAGAGTGAAATCCGCACAGCGCTCACAGTTGATTGATATGTGGGGTGTAACGTCCCAAAACCACCATATGATTATGAGAGACGCCGTAGTGGAGGACTCCGGAAATTTCGACCACCTGGTGTTCTTTAACGTGCACCCAAATGTGAGCACATGGGCCTACACAGCGCTCACAGTCACGCTATAGGACAAAAAAAAAACAAAAAAACGTGACCGATGGGGGTGATCGAGCACTTTTTCTTTTCGTAGTTTTCAAAATGTGGTAGTCGTCGCACTTAGTTAATTGAAGTATGATCAAATAATTAATAGTTATTGAACTTTATAACGTCTCGGAAGCATCATGTGGTTATCAGAGACGCCGTAGTGGAAGGCTCCGGAAATTTTGACTACCTGGTTATTACTTAACGTGCACTTAATGATAAGTAGACGGGCCTTGAGCATTTCCGCCCTTATCGAAAATGAGGGGCGCCACGGCAGATATTCGGTCCCGCGACCTGCGGGTCAGTGGCCGGGCACCATGACTACTAGACCACCGTGGCGGGTGTGTGATAATATAATATAATGGTGGTAATACGTGATTCTTTCGGGAAACGTGCTATAGACTTCGAAACCAACATCTTTCATCGCTTTTCAAATATTCCTGTAGCTTTACCCCAAAGTGGAAGTTACGAAGGTAGACAGGACAACAATGCTCTCATTGCAGGGGCAAGGCTTTATTATACGGACCTCGAAAAGCCATCTTGTTGCCGAGGGAAGTCTTCGACAAGCAGTGAAAAAGTAATTCATCATTTTAGATCCACTGAAGATACCCGCAGGTAGACATTGAGTGCTGGAATGTGGTACGTAATTTGACTATTATGTATATTTTATTTGGCTTGTAGGCTGGTATTTGTAGGTAATGGTAGAATGTGAGCTAGGCCAAACTAAATCTAAAACCAGTACAACATAATAAACAGCAATAGAGGTGATTGAAGAGGGATAAAGAGATGAAGAGGCAGGAAAGTAAAGCAGATAGTGGCATCCGGTTGGCCACCGCAGCAGTGGGTTGGAGAAATATGGGCGGGCTCGGAGCTTCTTTTTGTTGTCGTGGTCCTCACTACCTGGCTGGCCACGTGGATGAATAATCGCACTACTAGCTCCCTCTAGCGCGAAAACAAAAGCAGGCATAATGTTCTTTCGTAAGGTGCTTTGTCTCTTGGCCACAGTTACGGGAAGGTTGCCGATGTCTTGGGGGAGTCTATTATAGGATCAAAGGTATTTAGGCCGTACGACTAATGTATACTATTTTTTATTGTCTAAACTGCTGTATTTTTTATTATTCTTAATTCGTTTTTGCTCAGAACTGCCTGCCCACCCCAGTATTAACTTCCTGCACTTTTTATTCGTTTATTTTTAATATTTGCAATATTACATAATTACTTATTTTGTCTTTAAGTAGAAGACATTTAAACTAATATCTATAAACTTCCTTTTAAAATTACCTGGTTCTTGGCCAATCCCTCAGCGTGGGTGTGTGCCACTGCTCAAGGTTCTACTTTACAATACGATGAAAAATAGGAAATTGTGAAAACTACGTACTAGGACGTGCTTACAACGCGTCAAGCATAAGTAAAAAGCAGATTTTGCCATACGTGCCCGCGTTCCGTATGTAGATGTACACAGGTCACTAATTTACCCGCCTAAGGGATGTGGACGTTGCTTTTATTTATGGCGTTGCCGCGAGAAGGCAGAGGGGCGAGACAGAAGGAGAATCACAATATTACGATAGAATGTGATGAAATTTTTCCCCCACTATCTAAGTTTCAATCTTCGAGTTACTTAAATGACAGGTTAGAAGACTACATAGCTCATGCGGAAATAAAGAACATAATAGCCACAGACGCTTCTGTGAATAAAGAAAAGGCAGCAGTAGGAATCGTCTCAGATTACCTCGGTTGGTCATTCTCGGTAAGACTACCAGACTTCACTCCGGTTTTCGAAGCTGAGCTCCTGGCTATTATTTTAGCGCTACGAAAACTTCCTTCAAACGAAGAGAGTGCAATGATAATTACTGATTCTCTTTCGCTGTGTACTACTCTCACAGCTTCAGAACAATCAAGAGCTCTAGCGACATTACAAACATTAGTTCCACCTCATGTGAAGTTCCTGAAGTTAGTCTGGGTCCCGGGACACTGTGGCATACGGTTGAATGAAATAGCCGATTCACTATCTCGAGCCACACTTGATGGCCCTGTGATCTCGGTACTACCAGAATCGGAACACATAGTGTCGATCAGATATAGAAAATGGGCTATTTATACGGATATTATGGAAAATATCACTAAATATACGGACTATCAGCACCTAACATACCCCTGGAAACCTCAGTGGAGTCAATCTAAAAAGTTAGAAGTTATTTTAACCAAATTTCGATGTCGTGTCCCTCCATTAAACTTTTACTTGCACAGAGCTGGTCTGGCGATATCCCCCCTGTGTCCATTCTGTGAAGAAACGGAAACAATAGAGCATTACTTTATAACATGTAAAAACTATTCATTAATTAGGAAAAGACTTTTCATTGTTCCGTTTCAAGCAGTAGGTTTAAATTTAACTGCAGATAATGTTCTAAGTTTCGGTGCCTTTAGCTTGGGACATTGCCACAGGAGCGTATTCGATGCTGTATGCAATTTCATTCGAGAATCAAAGCGCATGTCATAATAATGCCTGCTTAAATATATTTCTGAAGACACTTGTCTAATTTTGAATGAAATTTGCATATTCATTTGGTTGTGACCGGGTGAGATAAGCTCGATTGTCTGGTCTACTCAAAATTTCTGTCTTCCACTGTAGTATTACCTCACCTTTTCTCTTCTTGATTCAATCTTCAATTATTTGTTTAGTTTAATATTCCTTTTTAGTTAATTATTATTTTCTATTACATCATTAGTTTTTTCATTAAGGATAAACCTTTTAATATATCTCATATAGGATACTTCTAGATTTCATGGCCAATCCCCCATAGTGGGTATGTGCCAGTGCGAAGGGGCAACAACAACAACAACAACAGGAGAAGAAGCCAGCGCTCGAATCGGCGCTCCCAGCGACAGCGCACGTCTTAATTTGCCGTCAAAGTCCCGGTCATACACCCAGCAGCGGAACAGGGTCGAAGCCATGGGGCCGGCACCTCCTGGAAGAGAAGATTACGCGTCTACCACTGGTGAGCAGGAACGCGACAGCGACCCAAGAGTGGTCGAGTACGGAACGGATTCGCAGCGCAAGGCTACCGCCGACGGGAAGCGGCGCAGTGTGCTACGCAACCGGCGATCAGTGTCCGCGGTCAAATTCCCACCGTTTTCTCGTTGGCCGCTGTGGCACCGTTACGGGCTCAAAGCTGTCGCGGTTACGGCATGCACGCTCGCCGTCTGCTGGGTCATCCCCGCTGCAATCAGGTTCACAGTGGGGTGCTGGCAGCCGCACTGTACCAACTGGGTGGCCGAGATGGGCAGCTCTCTGACCTGAACCAGGACCCCTGTGACAACTTTTACACTTTCGTGTGCGGGAAAGAGACTTCGAAGCTGACGCTTTTCCGCAGGGGCGGATTCGTCCGATTGACGATCAGCGTGTACCTGTCCTTCTTAAAGAAGCTCGTGGTTACCGACTTCAGGCAGCCGAAGGAAGAGCTCAGCATGGCTCACAGGCGCTACCTTCAGCTCTCGCAACGCTGTTTCCAACAGGCCATCAGCGGAGTGGACCATGTTGGCATGGTGAAGGCTGTGATGGCCGAGCACGGCCTGTCGTGGCCGCCTGACAAAGACGAACCTCGCTCGCTGCTTGAGCGGCTGACTGAGCTGTGCCTGGTACGGGGAATCCACGTGATCTTTTCAATTGAGTCCGGAATTAACCTCAGAAGACCTGGCTTCTACACAATTCACCTGGGCGTCAACCTGCAGTCGCTCGCCGTGTGGACACTGCTGCGCGGAAATCTCGTCCGGACGGGCAACCTAGGCTCCTTCTTCGTCAGGACTGCCGCCGTTCTCTCCAGAGAGCCCATGGACCCGCGGCTGGTCGAACGCTTGGTGTCTCTGGACAACATGATAATGACTGTGGCTATGGGCACTTCCCTCACGGAGCGGTTGAACTTGACCGAACAGTTCGTGAGCTTTACAGATCTCGGGAACCACACGGGAGAGTTTTTCCCCTGGCCAAGTTCTCCTGAAGGCTGTGAACAGAGTATTGGAACTCTATGCCCAGCCACTGGGGCCGGAAGACGAGATCATGTTGACTCACGGCTCCTACCTGCGGCTTCTCGGCCGTCTTCTATTGGCGAGTGGAGAGTCGGATACGGTCCAGGCGTACGCGGCGCTCATGCTGGCCCGGTCCCTGTCGCCTGCAGCCTCGCGCAAGCTTTCCGAAGCCCAGTGGCCCGGAGAAGGTGGCTCTATATTATCGACGCTACTCTCGCTGCAACACTGCGTCGGTGTCGCCGTGGTAGACCTGCCATACATAGCCGGAGACCTGTTCGTGCGGTGGTTCTTTCCCGGTGGACATATGGAAGCAGCACACGACATGGTCGCACGCATTGCAAACGCGACGCGGCAAACATTCGAGACACTGCACTGGATCGACGAGCCAACGCGTCGAAACGCCCTTCTCCGCATCTCCGATTTGGAGAGGATTGTCGTGCGTCCTGAAAACCTGTCTACAACCATGCAGCTTGACGATTACTATTCATTCCTGCCAGCTGCAGCGGACGACCTCAGTTATCCGGAGATGCTGTTCGACACGATGCAGGCAAAAGCGACGGCGGCGCTGCGGCTCCTCAACGCTACGCGTCCCGTTTTCAGTCACGTGAGAAGGGAGTTCCCCATGGTAGTGGTGAACGCCTTCTACGTCCCCATCTACCACATGATAGTCATTCCTCCGGGCATCATGTTCGCCCCTTTCTTAAAGCCCACGGATGTGCCGGATGCGCTCAATTACGGCAGCCTCGGTCACGTGATCGGCCACGAGATCACGCACAGCTTCGACGAGGACTTCGGGCTGTACAATAAGTTCGGTGAGCGCGAGGACTGGTGGTCGCCGGAGTCGCGTGCCAACTTTCGCGAACGACTGACCTGTCTGCGTCGCCTCTACAACGAGGCCTCCGAGGGGACGGGTATTGACTTCGGCGACACGGCTTTAGCGGAGAATTTCGCTGACTGCGGTGGCATGGTGAAGGCATTGCACGCTTTTAGGAACCTTGGACGGCAGACCGCGATGACTCTGAAAGGCCGCGAGTTCACAGCCGAGCAGCTATTCTTTATTTCGAGCTGTTACAAGTGGTGCTGGCCAACGCGAGACTCGGCGAAGCTGCGAAAAAGTGGCGACAAAGACGACATTCTCAAGTTTTATTCGCCGATGGACATGCGTTGTAATGTGCCGTTGATGAATATGCCCGAATTCGAGCAGGCCTTCGCATGCACCAATGGGTCGTACATGAGATCGCTTAGCCGCTGCGAGGTGCTTTGACCTTGACTCGCATTTGCAAAGGTAAAGCGAAGTTGCACTTCTGCGTGTTTTCCATTCGCGCATTTATGTGTTAGGTAACTTTTACGATGCGCATAAACCTTACTGAGAATTTCGCGTCTGGCAAGTATGTTATTTGATTCGGGTTTCCTTACCGCTTGTCGTAGGCCTGTTTCCAAGTTAATGCTTTAGTTATGGCGAATGCCTTAATGACCCAAGTGGTTCTTTTGATTGGTGTGTGTACACAATACCCTTACAAGGCGCCCGAATTTCAACATATGCAATATATACCAGAGCCATATGTTTAAAGATAAAGCGTAACCAGTCGAGAGTGCTAGCGCATTAGTGTGTTATTGTACTTGTATGAATATAAACTATACATAAACTAAACTTATATGGATATATAACTATTTCTATGAATACAAAGATTATAAAAAAAGACGTCGAAGAAAGGGGGAGAGACAAGCTCTTTCTACTTTACCGCCCGCCCCCCCGGGCAAACTAACACGCGTGTCTCTTTCCAAGCTATGAATTTTGAATAATTTTGGATAGGAGACGTGTGCGTTTTGACACACTTGATTTCAGGGCTGAAAGAATGAGTGATGGTGAAAAAAAGCGGGAACCAGGAATAATTTATTCTACGAGATAATAACTTCCGCATTGAAATGAGAAACAGCGCGAGGAACAGGGACAGAAGGAGCATGCACAAACGCTGTTGGTTTTATTCATACACAAAAAAAAATTGAATGGATCCACGTACCTTGAGAATCAATGTTATGTAAAGCAGGCAGATGGAAGGTGAATGCTTTATTTTTTATTGAGCAAGACATTATGAAGTGGCGCTAAGTATACATACAAATCCACGCGCGCACACACACACATTAAACAGCCGCATGTTTTATATTAGCAGCTGTTTACAGTTGTCGTAACGATGCCAACAGCAACATAGATATTAGCAACACCAGAAGCGGTGTAAGCTAATGTGAAGCGCTGGTGCGCGCGAGGCTGATATAGCCAGGCCTCGACACTGCTACACAAATAAACTTCAGCGGATGGCGAACTACAATTTACGTCAACCCGACAAGAAGGCTTCATCATAAGAGTACATATAAAATTGCGATAGCCAGTACTGCAACCACAATTGATGTTACATGAACATTAGTGTCTATTTAGAAAATATATCCAGAACCTGGCGTGGCTCTGTGGTAGAATACTTCATTGTCACACAGAATACTAGGGTTCGATTCTTGCTGGGACATTTATTGTTTGCGTTCGTCAGGTCAACGCTGCGTATATGAAAGCTTTTTCCTAACGTCCAAGCGTCAAAGTTACCCACGTTTGCTCTCGCCGTTCCTGGGTATACACACAAAATGTCCATCACCTGCAGCACGTACCCGCTCCCGGGTATGCGCCACCGTTTTTTTTTTTTTTTTGGAAAGTGTTTCACGACGTACGCGACGAAATTGGGACATTGTCATGTCATGACCAGTGAGTCGTATTCGTAAAACCATTTTACTTTCCCGTGCTAATTTAAAAGTAAGCGGGTGATAAATGAGAGCACACAGGCGTATAGGCGGCTAGACAGATACGCAAATAGACGCCAGAAGTGCTTGTAGTGCGCCAAGAAATGCTTCACATTTAAAAGTAACTAGCCCAGGGACAAGCGTCAATAAAGCCTATGCATATTCTTGAAGAATGGTGGTATTCGCAAATTTGTGGCGTTTTAAAAGCCTTATTAAGACGCTGTAAAACGCCGAGAAAATAGGGGCGTACGTCTTCCCGTGCTATTTTTCCTCATCGTATTGGCGGCTCGGACCGCTTCAGGTTTGTTAGGGGCTTACCGTATAGGATTCCAGCCAATGCCAGGCCTGGCGCTGTCTCCATGATGTAAGGGAAACAGAGCGCCGCTCCGCACACCAGGCAGCAGCACAGGTTTGAGACTATCACAGGAATTCGCTTATGCAGCACGGTAGACAGCACACCTGCAATATCGTGACATCGCACTAAGTATATGACTTGTCTCGTAAGCTTAATGACAGCGTTTATTCAGCAATTCGACAAGTACATATGTTTCTGCCAGCTGCAAGACTCGTGTGCGTGAAGGCGCACACGCGGCAGAAAGTGAAGTGAAAATTGCTCCACTGCAGATGCGCGCTGCAAGTCACCTCGTTAGTATATGGAAAGTGCGTTGAAGGGCCCCTGAAACGACCTGTGAAAATATAAAAAACGAACGCCTTATCCTCTCCCGGCGTATCTCATTATCGCGGTATACGTTTCGTGACATCAGCAGTTCACGTGACGTCAGGATGAAAGAAGCTCTTGATTGGAGAGATATCTGTTGTAAATTGTTTCGCGTTCTACTTTGCCACGCAGTCGGATGCCGGTTCTGCTTTGCCTCGCGTGCACTACCATGCGTGATAATTTGTTTGTTTGTATGTTTGTAGCCTCTAATCCATGGCTCATACCCACTCTGGGGGATTGGCCAAGAGAACATATAAACTGATTTCACTTCGTCTTCTGCGTTTGCGACTGTGCCAGCAGACAGCAGCGTGCAGTCGAAAAGCGCATAATTCTGACATGGTGCAACACTTAGTGCTGGCATTTCGCGTGTTTTATGAAGAAATAGGGACTGGGGAGGAGATAGTGCGCCCGAAATTTTTCAGTTTTGTTTGCGTGTATACACAGGGACATACAGAAGCGCATGCGCGAACATGCATAAAGTAATGTTGAACCCCTCCTCCTCCCTAGCCAAAAAAAAAGAAACAAAAAAAATCTGGCTATGCCCATGGCGAAAATGGAACTACTGTATAGCGCCTTGGAAGTCAGAGTGTACCTTTAAGCAAAAAATGAAGTGTTTCTACAAATTAGTATTAGTGTCTGCTCTTCATGTAACCACCGTGTTTAAACGTCTCTGCTTTCAGTGGAAATTCGTGAATTGTATTTTTCTGTGACAACTCATTTTCTTCAAATTTCCTCAGAACACTACTGTTCCCCCGTAAGATGGGCGTCGTCAAGATAAACACGGCCAAAAAATTCACAGCATATCCACGGAGTGAGGGATGATGAGTGGGGCGAAGCGTCCGTCCGTCTGTCCGTCTGTCTGTCTGCCCGTCCGTCTGCCCGTCTGCCCGTCTGTCTGTCTGTCTGTCTGTCCGTCCGTCCACCCGCCCGTCAACAATACGAAATCGTGAACTATACGAAAACCAATAACGCCATCTAGCGATATCATTTACAAGGACATATACACGTAACGATGTATCTAGTGAGTAATTCTTAAAACTAACAAGAAGTGGCTACTACTACAACATACTACTACTAGGGACACGGCCCTAAGAAGCTTCGCCCCTGAAATCGTGGCTGCTCTTACAAGTTGAGAGATATATTCTAACGCAATTCAGTTTCGGGGGACAAGCCAAGCTTTCAGTGTTAAAACACCGATTTTTGTATTGTAAGTGTGGCAGATTTCGCGAACTAGCATTTCAACGCATTCTAATTTCCCTCCCGTATAGGGGCATTGACCCTCACGTCCGGAATCGGCAAACATCTCAATATAACGCACTATTCACTACAGCCGCGTCGCACAAGCTCGGGATGGGCACACAGGCGTACCGCTGCCTACGATCCCGACATAGTCGTTCATCGGTGCGTTCTTGCATCAACTGCTAACATGATTTAAGATGTTACCTTCGAGGTAGTTTTCATTGGCTTTGTCGAAGCACAGGCATCGCCTGACAATTGGCGGTGGTTCTTACTCCCAACATAGCCGCATGCACCGTCAAATAATTTCACGGACAACGCCTCCATTGTTCGGAGACTTTGTCATAGATTGACCGCAACTGACCGATGCCATATCTATTGTTTTTTGAAGCGTGCTTGATCTATTGTGCTGTAGGTGAAACAGCGTCGTTGTACGGTACAATATTTGGTGAGCGCGTCTCGTACTACGAAAATATATAAAAAGGGAGAGAAGTTATTATTTTCGCAATACTCGTGTGTATACCGCACCGTTTCGAAAGCCTATATGTCGTCACACCCACATTAAATGTCATTTGATGTAAGTAAATTAGCTTAACACAAGGAAATGTGAAGTGTGGTAGCTAAATTAACAAGGGCTGTTCACCGATGTAGCGAGGATCGCACGAACGCCCGCGTATTCGAGTTAACCTTCGCATTAACGAATTTCATTGTTAATACCAATGACCGTATGCTATAGATGTTACTTTGATGCCCGATAGACGACCAATTGCATTTGTTTTTGGTATTGTAATTTTATATAGCAACATTATTTTTTGTGTGACCGACCCGACATGGTGATGCCTCTTTGCTTTTTGTTAATGTCTCACCCATCTGGGGCAAATTAGAGGCGGTCATCAAAAATATCTGTAAAGGGTGTAGAACTACATGTGCATTACTCAGAGAACTCGCACAGACGACAATGGAAAGTTCACAGGGCGAGATCCCAATGGTCGACAAGAATGAAGCATTGAACATGGTTTTCTGGACGCATGCGAACGGACGAATACGATTGATGACGATATAGTAAAAGCTCGTTAACTAAGATTTCCTTTGAACTGACAGAATTAAATGAATACCGAATTATCGTAAGTATCAAGAAAGCGATCAACAACTGCCTACTTAAGTCTGCAGATGACTAGGCTCTTTACGAAATGAAGCGCGTCTTTCTCTTTCAGCGCAGCACAATTGTTCGCTCTTCGTACTATCATACGAACAATTTGTTAAGCTGTTCTTCTAATGATGTTTAAAGTATCGAGGCATTGCCAATTGGAGTGTAGCCACATCCCAGGATTCGAATGGTCGTTTTCTCTAGAATAATATTACCATCATACTTGACCTTCAGTCAAAGGCTTGGGTCTGACCTTGATGAGCTGGCTGAAGCGCAAGTGACCACCCAGATGGACCTACTGCAACTAACGCAACCCAGTAGAGAACTTCTCCAGAGGATCGGCCTCGGTGAACATGTAGAGGTACCATGGAACTGTCGTACTTACAGAGTGGTACAAGGTATCTCCACTACCGAGAACAAAGACCCGAATTCTGCATTCTGGAAGACGCAAAGCAAGACCAGCGTATACATAGCTAAAGAGACAAAATATTTGAATACGGTGGATTTACAGACGCTGCACCATATCAATCAAACGCTAAGAACATGGTGGCCATGGTCCCATACCGAATAGGAAACATCACAAGCTGCTCCTCCACTAGCCCAAGCCTGCATAACTGAAGCGGAGGAGATATCGATCGCAATGGCAATCAAGGAGGGCAGGGAGCGAAAGCGCCACTGACAATAATCACAGATTCGAAGGCTGCACGTAGGAACTACCATAGGGGCACACAAGGTATGAGAGCATACCAAGTTCTAACAAAAGCTCGTAAACATTTCCCACTTGAAAACACCCAAACTATAATCTGGGCGCCAGGGCATGAGGGCGTCACAGGCAGCTTGTTTGCGGATGAGGCGGCTCGAGGCTTCACGAATCGCCGAGCTTACTTGCACACACGGCAATAGACGATACAACACCCCTATAGACCCCATATGTTTGCTACAATTCTTCAGTACTACAGGGATAATAGGAAACTGTATCTATCACAACATGAAAAACTCACAGCAGTGGAATCTGCGACGTTACGCATACTTCAGAAAAACACACACCAACTTACACAGGTTACATGTATTCTACTCCACAGCATAAATACGTAAATACAGCGCCTATGCGAAACAACAGCCAGTTGTTTTCGCGAAATACAGTGTGACTGCAGCTCAAGCACCCCGTGCCTTAAGTCGAAGCGTACTCTGAAGCCATGCCCCTATTACGTACCAACAACGCGATTCTTGATAGTGACAACGCCTTTCAGAAATCCCGCAACCGTTACGACTGCCCGTGAACGCCGTTTCGGTTCCTTCGGGTCGTACATTAGCGGCACTTTGCGTCCGGCGCACTCCGAGGATCGTCCGTATTAACAAGGCTGCGACCAAGCTTACGACCGAATTAACGAGGGTTTGATACCATTAGGCGATGCATATGCTGGACGGGATCGGAGGACACACCCTATTTACCCGATTTTCCGAATTAACGAGTGTGGAATCAACGAGCCTTTGCTGCATTTCCGTCAGAAATTACAGGAACATCTTGCAGCCAGAAATAGGGTAGTATTACAATAACTCAAAAACTAATAAAATGCGAAAGCAAATGACCAAAACCGAAAGTAACACGCAATACAGCAAGTAGTCGGTCTTGGAAAAAAAACTAAAAATAAAATAAAAAACAAGCAAGGACTTTTTACTAGAAATAGATGACATGCGTATGCACCATATGATATTCCATAATTTATCTGAACGTTGCTGCTTTGGAACACTGTGAGTAGACGTGAGTATAAACGTGAACTAGGTAGGGCTGATAGTAATGCTGAGTACGAGTAGATAGGATTATATGTCGACAAACGTAAGTGGAACTCACTCAGGCCCGTATTCACAAACCAACCTCGGCCATATACCTCACGTTTTTCTCAACTTCCTGTACTCTCTACATGCGTTATAAAGGCCCAAGAATGGTAACAGGGCGAAAGATAAGGACAAGACTGTTTTATGAATACTGGTCCAATTTGTTTATCATGCGCAATAAATGTTTCAAACCGATAAGGAAAACTCGATTAAAGCTTGAGGTTGGTTTTGAATACGAGCTTTAGACACACTCAAGAAGAATGCATTGACTCACTCGGAGTCAGACTCACGAAAATTTTCTTCTTGGACTCACTCGGACTTAATCTCACCAACATATCACTCTCCTAGACTCACTCAGAATAACGGCTCGATCTGAGTCCGAGTGAGTCGAATCAACAGCATGTTCGCTGACCTATGGTGTGCACCAATGTTCAAGGTACGGTACGTGGCATTGTGGCACCGAAAATCATGACATGACGTGGCACGACAAGAACTCTATTTAATAGTCCTGAGGAAAATGAT